AATTTTATGAATCCCATGTGATGATTTTTATACATAAAGTTTCTTCATTTCTTCACTAATTTTTCCAAAGAACCTTTTCTCGAGAAACTAATTGATTTTTCATCATGAAAATCATTGCCAGAGGAAGGAAGTAACTGAGAATGAAACGTGCTTTGAATTTATGATTTGCAATTAGCATGTGATAAGTATTTATGTGCGATCTTTCATTTTGTTCAGGAAAATTCTGAATTATTTGAAAACTTTTTCATTTCAACCTCATTTTGTTATGATGAAAGACTTTTACGAATCAAACTTTACAATTAAATGAATTAAGTGAGTGAACTTATTGCTTCATGCAACTCAATTAGTTCAAATATAATTTTCCTTCCCTTTCTTTCTACTTCCGACTTCAATTCTTCTGTTGCTTCCGTTTAATGTCTTGACATCAATCCAATTTTTTTATTTCATTTTGCTCCATTGATTTTTGTAGAAGTTTCAATGTTGTAAATATTTATTTTTGTGTCGTTTGAACTCGCTCTATTGCTTCTACAGCTTAAATTTAAATAATTAAGTATGTCATTAATTAAAAATTGCTCCCATAAAGATTAACTTTGTCTTCTGGCATTCGCTTGTCTAAATATTAATTTATATCCATACAAGTTTAAATGTGATTGATTGTAAGCACAGAGTGACATTAAATTGAAAAATGACTGTCACACTGTATCACTTTAATGCTTATCGATTGTCAATGATTCATGTGAGAGAAAGTTTCGCGATTTAAAGTGATGAAAATATAAAAAGAATTACATATTCGCATTTTAAAGTTAAATGATTAATCGCTTTATTGTTTGTGTTATTACATTCTATACAGATAGAATAATTAAAATTGAGGTTTTTTTCTCTTTTTTAAAAAAGGGTTCAAATCTGCTTAATTATGACAAAATAATGTAAAGTTCACAATTTTTATGACATGACCCGAATTAATAAAAACATTACACAATAGATTCAAATTATGTCGGTAGAAACATGAACTTACTTGCTCATTTATCATGAAATATGTGTAGAGAGATAAAAGATAAAAATTATTCTGAGTTGATAAGCCTCCAATGTTTATCAAAATCTGTAACAAATTTTCATTTTCTGGAGGTCAATTACATTTATGAATCGTTGAAAAAGGAAAAGTCAATAGAGCAAACATTAAACACAACTTTTTGCTAGAATTTAAAGCAATTTCCTTGAGATTGCCTTTTATCGTTGATTGTGGGTAACACAAAGCAAAGGCAAAGCAAAAAAAAATCAATTGGCGAACAGATTTCCACTTGTTATGGTTACATTTAAGTTAATTACGGTATTAGAGAATGTAGTTCAATGTCGTCTGAACTTTTAAAACTCTATTTTTGCTGAGTAAAGGTAACTTTAGAGACGGTACAGAAAACTCGTATCGGAAGCTTTAAAGTGGATTGAGAATTGCCTTGAAATTGTTTACTTTCATCTCCCACGTAGAAGAAAATTTATGAGTTTGAGATATGTTTATGTATTTCAGAATAAAAATCAATAAGCAACTTTTGCGTGAACCTACAAAGCTGTTCTCATTCTATGTAGATATTTAATTTACAAATATTTGTTTCTTTTTTCATGTTCATTTTTCAATGCGCAGCATATTTCATAGTAGAAGGCTTTATTAGCATTAGAAACATTAGGCTTTTAACTTTTATTAATTACATTGAGCTTTTTATATTTTTGGGGTCGTTAATAAATCAGTTGAACAGATACTTGACACTATGTCTTGCCATTTAAGAAAATATGAAAATAATCTTTGTAACGTGTCTTAATTGAATTAAAAAAGGATTTTAATTTCAAACCTGATTGGAATGCCAGAAGTAAAGATTAAAGGAACTAAAAATTAAATCTGGGACTTGCCTATCTCTGCTTATCTGCTGTCATAAATATCTTATCTAAATATCTACTCATAAACTCTTAGAATATTATCAGAGTAATTTGGAGAACATAACTTGAAACTTATAAATTATACAAGCAGTTAATGTTTGAAGCATAATCAAATTTATAACTTTCTTATACATTTGCGCAGATAGATTTTAATTCCCAGATGCAAAGAAATAAATTTAATTGAAATCTTTAAAATCTGATTGACAATAAATTGATTTTTTTTTAATTTCTTCATTGAATCTCAAATTAAGCAAATAAATTTACTCTGCAGAAAACAATTAAATTGATAGAAAATCAATCTGAAAGAAGTTGATCTGATTTAGAACTCAATGATGTAAATATTTACATTAAAAATATTTAAAGAGACAATGTTGCAATCCTGATTCTGACAGATGCTTCATACCTTCTGTAGCTGGCAACAATTTCTTCTAAATTTTTTATTTCAATCTAAGAATGGAAAGAGGTTTACTTTGATCAGATTTTTTCAGTCATGTACAGATGCTTATTCGTTTTTGTTTATTGTAAATTTTATAGGAAATCATTGTCCAAAAATTTCAGAAATTCATTTCACGTCGATGTGCCTTTTCCATAACACAAAAGCTTCAATTTCTTCATGTTTGATTGTTAAAGTGTTCAGAATGAAATTCGAATTGATTGTTGAAATATTTTATCAGATTTGATGTTTGTTTTATTTATCAGTGTTTCATTGTCACTCAAGTTCAGATCAAAATTATTTTCCTTTTCTCGTTTTCCTTTCATTCATTCAATTTATTCTCTGGTCCTTGTTCCGTTTAACGTTGTCATTATCTTCCATCACATTTTCCGATGAGTATTCACTAGTAAACACAATTCGAAATGAAACTAAATGAGAAATGATTGACTTGACGATCGAAAGTGAAACTGTCATTTTAATATTATAAATGACAAAAATATAAATCACTTTTTGTTTGTTAGATGTCTGACTTCCATTCAAAGGGAAATGTTGAGAAAGAAATTGTTGCAACTTTTGAACATCCACGATAGAAAATTGTGAATTTTCATGTCAAACTTATGCAGAGTTTTCATTTTATTCTTCGAATTTATAAGAAAGTCATGAGATGAAAAGGAAAAAAGAAACAAATTTAACTCAGCATAAATAACAGTCAACAATATAATGATCCAATCTGTATGTACACGAACCCCTTTCTCCGATAAGAAATTCTTTTAAAACTTCTTCTGATGTTAGAAAGAAATTCTTGTTCACCTTACGATTTTACTTCCAATAAATAAATTTCTTCTTGTCCTTTGTACACCGTTTTTGGTTTTCAACCCGCTCGCATGAATAAGTGAACGCTTTTAAATTTCTAAGTGAAGCGATTTTTACGCCATATGGAACGAGAAGAAAGAAAGGAATTCAGCACAAATGAGCAGTTTTTAAAGCGGAAAATCGAAAATTTTTAACGATAGAAAATTTACGATAAAGCGAACATTTTAAATTATAAATTGCCTTTTAAACGCAATTTCGTTATGTTATAAAAGCATTTCCCCATTCGGTAATGTCTTAGCTGTTGTTTTCAGGTGAAACAAGCTTTGATATCGGTGTGAATCAAATCAAGTATCTTTATGCGACGCTCAACCCAACATGTAAAATCATTGATATAAAGTTAACTTTTTATGGATTTCGATACATTTAAAATTCCTTTCTGGGTCTGTGACTTTATCGATTCTTGAAATCAATAACTTTTATTTTAACACGCTCATAACGATTTCAAAGACAAATAGTTCAATAATGTCTCAAACAAGCGATTTATATCAAAGAATGAGACCAATTCAGTATTTTATATCCATTCATTATTTAATTACGTACGCTTGTAAACGACACATGTACATGAAAAAACAAAAATAACATTAACAAGCATTGATTGCACTTTAAGATTCAAGCACGACCAAAAAGTCGAAGTGGGAGAATTGAATGTTAAATTTATGCGTTGCGATTAAGGCAAACGGATATTGCAAAACGGTTTTTAGATTTAAAATTTGCTATCTCTCTCGTTAGTGATCCACAAGACCTCAGCTTATGCAAATCAGTTTAACTTAATTTATTATCTTTTATGCAATTTAGAATGTTAACGTTTGACGTTAAATAGAAAGAAAGAACAAACAATTCAAAGTTGAAACTGTTAAAGTTATGCATATTGCATTCACCAGAGGCTTTCAAATGACATACTTATCACCAACATACCGATGAAATTCGCTATTCGCTTTTGCTCTGCTGTTCACTTCTTTTTTTTCTCTCATTCATTTCGTATGTGATTCTTTTTAATCAAAGCAATTCTCATGAATGTGAAATGTTTTCTTAAAATAAGTTCAAGTTGAATCACTGACATAAAAATAACTGCGGAGTTAATTAATTTTAGACGCAAATCTATTGTGAACTGTCGGCTGCAATTAACTAAAAATGAGTTAAGACTATCGTATTAAGTTGAATGAAGTTAAATTACGCGGAACACCAATTCAACCGCATAATTTCCTTTGGAAAATAAATTTTCTCACCTTCTTTTTCTTTAATTGCCGATTATAAATTTTATATTTTGTCGTTTTACTGAACGTTCATGAGCTCGTAATTTATAGTCGCGGTGTGATAAAGAATTCGTGAAGACAAGAGACGTTTAATTTATTTATGTTTTCTTTCGCATTTTGGCGCGTGGAAGTATTTTTTTCACAGTTCCTCTTAACTAAGACGATTGAAAGCGAAGTTAAAACATTTATGCGAAAGGTTTTTACGCTCCCAAATTTTTCAGATCATCAGTTTATTTATGGGTGTTTACTTAACTTTTCTCAACTCGGAAAATATCTTTCAAAATATTTATTTAAAATTATTATTAACAAGCTTTACTTACTTTGAAACCCTCAAGTGACATTTGATTGACAATAATTTTCATTTACCCTGAGGAATATTTTCAACACTTGTTTGTAAATTTGTAATCATCAGTATCGAGTTGAAGAAGGAAAAGTTTATTTATTGTATAAATCATTTTCACAACAGATTAAATTTAGACGACGAGAGGAAAGAAACACTTCCGACATCATTCAACTCACTCAGAGTTGCTTGAAATGTTCTCTTGATTGATAGATTTGTAAGCAAATTCTTTTTCATTTTTCTCTCGTTCTTCAATCATCAAAACTATGTCAATTCGTTCGACAGCAAGTTCTTCAACTTTCTTCAATAGATCGGGATAAGCTTGAATGAGATTTTGAAAATCTTTTTTGTATAATCTGTTAAAGGAAATGATTTGCTGTAATAAGTTTCAAGTTCACTGATCTTCTGAATTGATTAATAGAATAAGATGGAGAAAGTTTTAGTAGTGAATTTGCGACGCTTCATCAAATTATCCCGAAAATTCCAAAGAGATTATCGTCTTTGATTCTCCATCTAAAGTTCATAACAATTTTTGACCTATTTCTAAGCCAACCCATTCTATTAGATTAACCGAAAGAAGAAATTAACAATCCCAACCCTAACCGAAATCAGACAACTTTAATACTTAACACCCAACCAGCAAACTTCTTCTTAGACTTCATCAAGATAATAAATACAAGCAAAGTTTCTGATACTTACTTGTAACATTCCGTCGTTTCAAGCGCAACGACCTTTACGAAATGTTGGTAATCATCTGCGAAAAATGTTGCTAACCCAAAGTAGTCACCGTCTGTAAAGTGACAAACTTCTTTACCGTTTGGCAAACAAAACGCAACAGAACCTGAAGCTATAAAGTACACTGCTGTTCCAATCTCACCCGGTGAAATGATGGCATCGCCTTCTAAGAACAACTCTTGAGTGAGCGATGAAATGATTTTTAATACCAAAGATGATGGGAGATTCTCAAAGAACTGAGAGTTTTCAACCAGTTGTCGCGTATTGTGAACGAGAATTTGTTGTCGTAACGATGCGGGTAAAGTTTTGAGAATTTCTTGTTCATTAAAATATCTTTTACGAAAAATATAATCGTAGTTGCTTCGAAGCTTATTTTTGGTTTCTTCTGGTAAACAATTTTGATCTGTGTACTTAGAAAGTTGTACCATCATTTGATTATATCGCAATGTTGAACTTTTCATTCCTTGAATAATATCAAATATGTAAGCAAAAGTGATACAAAGTCCAACACGCCCAGCAATATTTAATAAAGTTCCATAAATTCTATCAAAATATTCAGTTGGTTGTAACTCTTTCACATAACCCGTTCCCATCAAAGTTTTGATGCATTTGAACAAGCAAATTATATATTTGTCCAGTTCACTTCGATTTTGAAAGAATCCCTGTTTGTACCAAGCATTTTCATTGTTATTTTGAAAGTTTGTAGCAATTAAACCAGGAAGGATGTGCAGACATGACGCCCAATGAATGAAGACCAACCAGTAACAAAGAAGTTTGAATATCTCCATGTATTTATCGTCGACTCCTATTCGTTCAAGCGTGCGATTACTATAGAGAATGAATGTTGGAAGACGAGTAATCCTTAGTAAGGTCAAAATTTTGATGAAATGATATTTCGCAACATGAGTATCCAAACGGAAAATTAGTGCAACCAAGAGTGGAATGTTTATCAGAAAGTCGAATATGAAGGAACCCCGAAGATATCTCATTGCGATTTTCCTTCTATCTAAAACAATCTGAAATCGAGAGAAAAAATAAGAAAAAAATGAAAAAGAAAGAAAGTTTCATTTGATTAATCAGAATTGAGTATTTCTTAGAAAGCCGCTTGCTTGTACATCCTTAAGGGTGCAGAAAAAGGACGGAAATTCGATGATATCCAAAGGATAATGAAACAAGATTTGTCAAATTAATGATGAAGGTTTATCAAAAGATTTTCTTTAAAAAACAAACCGTAAAGTTTTTTGGGTCTAAGTATCCAGTGAAGAAGCGGACAAACATGTCAATTGTACAAAATATTTTGATCAACTTCATTATAATGAGGTTACCGACGCTTTCGCTGGGATCTTCGCCAACGTACTTTAAATACATCAAAGGATCGTAAAACAATCCACTTAGAAACACCAAACCAATAAAAACCTCCCAAAACCATTTAAAGTTTGAAAATGGATGAATAGTCGACAAATGATTCTCAAAATGTAATCTTCGATCATTAACGATGGCAGCGTGACTGTTAAAGTGTTGCAATGTTAAGTTTGATTTAACATTGATTGTCGTCCATTTGAGAAGCTTTCTTTTGAGTTTACTTTTATCACTAAGAAGATTTTTTAGTTCATCGTCTCTAAGCTCACAATTGTGTCCGAATTTCAGAAAATAATGCTCCATCTTAAAGGTCTACGACAAAGAATTTCTTTTCCTTTATTTAGTCTTGTGATGTGAACTTTTATTTACAAAAAGAGATTTTCTCATTCTTAGTAATAATGAGGAAAGAAAAGGGAATTTTCCGCTTGCTTTGCCTTTTTTAAGAAAATTGTTTTGTAAAAAGTGTTTTCCGTTTTGCACTTTAAATGTTTACGTGTCGTGTTTTGCTAACAAAGGAAAGTAAAGAGAGACAAAGTTTATTATGATTCACGGAAATTTTAAATCTCTCCCAAAACAAAATGAACGTTTGTTTGTCCTATGACTAAGCAAGAATAACAGAAAACGTACGACAGACACTTGAAACGACAGAGATGAACGTCGAAAAAAATATCATAAATCTTATTCTTAAACAATTTGCGTAAATAATAGCGCTACCTAGCTCATGAATGTCATAATTTTTTTATTACCGTCTAAGAGCGTGAGCTTCTTGAATCAAGGGATTAAATTCCAGTCAACAATATGATGAAAGGGGAAAAAAGAAAATTAGATTCCTTTTTTACTTTTTGTTGTTGAAAGGCTGAAGTTGAAGTGAAAATATATCGATAAACTTCTAATCGTCTTCTTTCTAATGGTTTGTCCTTTTGTGTCTTAAGATCATCACAGGAAAAGAAGGTTTAGCTGAGGATTACGTTGTAAATTTTCATGTTACGATAAAGGACGAAGGTCTCTTTTATCAACGAGCCGGATAGTTAAAGTTCCCCATAAAAGTCAGTAAACCAGAAATTTATGATCCGTGCAATGATCAAGATTTGAACTTTTATCCCAACCAATCCTCAATTGTAAAGAACCATTTTAAATGCAATTTCAAAGCTAACAACTCTAAAGTTATATTTTTTAAAGAAAAGTGAGCATGAGTGGACTTGACAAGTATCAACTGGAGACATAAAAGTGAGATTCAAAGAAAAAACAAAAAAAAAGCAACCGTGTTGAGCGATACGGAAAGTTGAGAATTTATGGCTTTGTTTTTTTGCATCGGAAACTGTGAGAGAATTTAAAAGAATTTATATTCAATTTACGAGAACAGCGTTGAATTGTGTTTATTGCAGCCATTAAAATAAAAGATAATTTCAGCGAAATTAATAAATAAACTTTGAAGAATAAACTGAGACGTAATTCAATGATAATTCATCTAAGTATTAAATGGAATGCCATTGATAGCTCGTCTGAAAAGTTTTATTATCGAGCGATGATTGACAATTTGTTTAGAGTTATTGCAAAATATTTCTCTGCTATCATAATTAAATATTTTCTCTAAATCGTTCCATGAAATAAGTGAATAAATTTTCAAAATTAATTTCATCGATCAATTTTTGATGTTAAAATAAATTTTAATTAAATCGTGAGAAATATTAATTAAAATTCTGCGAACGTTTTAAAACTTTCAGCGATCAAATACTGCAAATGATTAAAATCTTTCATAACATGGAAATAAATTATGCGAAAAGTGCAAATCAGGCGGAAGTTATCAGAAATGACGATCTGTTATAACTTGATGTGCAATTGCGTTTAACATTGCGCAATAAATGTATTTATAAAACATATATGCAAACATTATGCTTCATTTCACTTTCGACATGTTGTCGTTGACGCTTAAATATGCGAGTAAAAAGAAAAGTATCAGATTTGGATGTTGCGAACATAAATTCAATTTTCTGGATATTGGATCATGAACAGGCCTGTGGCATAAAGTTTTCCAAGAACAAGCTTGAACTTCAAAATTTAATTTCTAACTTGTTGCCAGCATAAACGATATTACTTTCTGAAACATCTGACAAAAAAAAAGAAGGAAACATGATGTCATTTCGTAACTTACAAATATTGGGTGAAAAACTAGTAAACTTTGTAACATTATTTAGTCATCATTGACATCTTGCGTTCTTAAGAACTTATTTTCAAATTCTCATTTCAAATTTGTGAAGTTTTGTCCAAAAAAGTACTTTAAATAAATTGGAATGTTTACAATGGAGAGCTTAAAAAAGTTGGAAGTGAGTTCTTTAAAGATTATAACTTTAACATCTAGAAAAGATGTCAAAAGTTTGAAAAACTTCTGATTTCAGATTCCAAATTCAAAAGTTATTACTGAAAAAAGTTTCAAGCAAATTCATGTGTTTAAGCCGGAAAATGTGAACGAAGACCATGACGAATTGAATAGAATATGCAGTCGATATTCTGGCACAGCAAAGTCTTTGTCATTTCTTAGAGGAGAATTGGGAGTGAAGACGGTCGTCCAACTTTTGAATTATTTTCCGGAACTTGAAAAATCTTTTATTGAAAGTTCTGGAGAGCTTCAAGATAATATTGATGGCGACGATTCTTTAATCTTCATTTACTTTGATGGGGAAAAAATAAGGAATGAAGTCGACGATATCGTCAATGATGAAGATTTGAAGCATGTTGTAGATGAAACTGAAGACTATGAAGAGAAACTTAAGGAAATTGAAAAATTTCCCTCAATTTTTGTTACTGAAACAAGTTCAGAAGAAGAAAGTAGATGGACTGTTGAAGTCAAAAGCGAGGAAGAAACCAAATCAATTGAAATTGAGCGTTCTGAAGGGATCAATCAAGAAATATTTTATGATGCGCAACAAGCTTTGCCAAAATTTCAGGAAATGCTTAAAATTTTAAAATCAAAGAAATTCATATTAATCCCCATTGCTTTAGTGACATTATCAGCATTATTTGCTTCGAAATTCTTTCCCAAGAAATAAATTATAATTGGCTAAAGTATACTTTCCGTGTTCGTTCATTAATTAACGTTAACGTTAATTAACGTTAATTAACATTAATTAACGTTAACGTTAATCAATTAATGTTAATTAATGTTCAGCGCATAGCACGCAGAAAAACATGAGAACATTAGAAAAATTTAACGCTTTTCAGGAATTTAAATGCTCTAACGTGGACTTACGGGGCACGAAAGAAAACAAAGAAAAGGAAAGTTCAATATCGGGTGAAACATCAAAGGAACTTTATTTGAATAATAAATTAAAT